AGTGTGATAGGAACTGCGATGGGAAATAGAGTAGAAAAGAAAAATGAGGCAAAATAGGAAAGAAAGACAAAGAATAGACAAGGGTACATCTTGAAAACAATCAAGAACGTTCTGGTTAGCTGCATAACAGGAAGAGTCCACACAGAATACAGGGTAATTCTGGTATTGCAACCCTCACATGATGTACAAATACATACATACATATACATGTATGTGTGTATGTATATATATAAAAATGTAGATATGTAGATATAGGTAGATGGACATATGTGAAAAAGCACTATGATGTAGGGATGATTTTTAAGGATATTTACACTGAAGATCTCTAGAAAAAGAAAGAAAAAAAAAGTAAAATGCCCCCCAAGATGCATTTGTCAGAGTTTTCCAGAGAAACAGAACCAATTGTATATATACATATAGAGATATAGAAAGAGATTTATTATGAGAAATTGGCTCACATGATTACGGAAGCTAAGAAGTACCACAGCCTCCCTCTGCAAGCTGGAGAACCAGAAAAGCCAGTGGAGTAGTTTTAGTCCAAGCTCGAGGGCTTGAGAACCAGGAGAGCTGATGGCATAAGTCCCAGTCTGAGTCTGGAGGCCTCAGAACCAGCACTGTTGATGTCCAAGGGCAGGAGAAGATTCCAGCTCAAGCAGAGAGAGAAAATTTACTTTTCCTCTGCCTTTTAAAAAATGTCATGCCAGCTGGCAGGACATCTCTTAGCCCAGTCAAGTTGATAAATAAAATGAACCATCACAAGTCCACCCCTAGTCAACTTGGTGCTCACATGCATTCTCTTAACTATACCCAATATCCAAGTAAAGACAATTACAAGGTCATAATTCTGCCTAACATGATACGATTATCCTGCATACAACTGAAAATGTGCTAATCTCTTCCCCAGAAGAGGAGGTAAAAATCCTTGAGTGATGTTTACTCTTCCTCTGATATCCCATAACTTAAATACTATAATGTAAAATTAACAATACTTAAATACTGATATAAAGTCAATATATTTTATGTTACATGATAAGGAAATAAGAGAAAAAAGAAAACAAAGATAGCTGACACACACGCACACACAAATATATTTATAACAAAATAAGGATTAAATACTGTGTTTCCTCCCAAATAAGACAGGGTCTTATATTTATTTTTCCTCAAGAAGACACCCTAGGGCTTATTTTCAGGGGGTGTGTTATTTTCCCCTCAAAGCCTCAGCTTGCAGCACGCACAGGATGGCCAGGACCTGACAGGGGGAGCTGACCTTGTTGGTGGGGCTGCCCGCACCTTTCTGGTCACCTCAGGGATAGTAGCTGTCACGATGGGACAGATGAGAAGGGCTGCTTGCGACGAAATGCATGGGTTGTGCAGATACGCTGAGTAGCCACTCCCATCGCTAGGTCTTATTTTCGGGGTAGGGCTTATATTGCGCAAATGCTTAGAAATCCTGCTAGGGCTTATTTTATGGGTAGATCTTATTTTGGGGGAAACACAGTACTTACGACAATTATAGTCTTCATGTCTGTAATTGGTCACATGATCATAGCTGGTATTTATAACTACCTTCTGCTACCCATTCAGTTTTCCCTTTGCCTTCAGCGAGCACCTCAGCTGGCCAGGTCATGATTCTTTACTTGATGAGGGAACCCAAACCTTTAATCCTGAAGGGTCTGGGCTACTAGTGGTCCTGATTGGATTGAGTTGTTGTAGTTTTTCATTGACCTTAACCATGGGGTATGGTAATACTAAGAGACTCCCCAAGGGGTCTCCTGTATTCCAGACATACTACTCTTTCTTACCACCATTGTGGGGAAATAGTCTGATTTCCTCTTTGTAGTCTGGATCAATCACTCCAGCCAACACTGTAATTTCTTTCATTTTCTGTTGACTCTGAGGCATAAGGAAACCAAAGTGTCTGGTGGAAGTCTTAACTTCCAGTTCACTGGACTTGTTATGTTTCCTGGTGGAAGCATTTCTCTGGAACTAATACCTTTGGGCCAGCAGAGCATAAAGTCATGGGACTAGAAAGCAAACATTTTTCTAGTGTGTCACTAGGAGTAATAGTGAGTGCTGCCTCTTTCATTTCCACTCTTTGATTCCTGGACCTGGGAATTCTGGCTTATTGGAAAAACAGCACTACATATTGATTGAATGCTGATTCAGAGCACATATAGCCTTCTGGTGAACCTAGTCCCAGTCCTGCAAGGTATTGTCACTTAGGTGTCACTTTAACCAAGTCTTCAAAAGGCCATTCCACTGTTCTATCAAGTCAGCTGCTTCAGGATGGTGGGGAACGTGGTAAGACCAGTGAATTCCATGAGCATGGATCCATTGCCACACTTCTTTTGCTGTAAAGTGAGTTCCTTGATCAGAAGCAATGCTGCATGAAATACTATGACAATAGATAAGCCATAAGTCCATGGATAGTAGTTTTGAAAGGAGCATTGTGTGCAAGGAAGGGAAATCTGTATCTGAAATGTCTATTCCAGTAAAGACAAAATGCTGCCCCTTTCATGATGGAAACAGTCCAATGTAGTCGACCTTCCCCCAGGTAGCTGGCTTATCACCCCAGGGAATGGTTCCATACTGGGGGCTCAGTGGCAGTCTCTGCTGCTGGCAGATTGGACATTCAGTGGTGGCTGTAGCCGGTTGGCCTTTATGCGTGGGAGTCTGTGTTGCTCAGCCCATGCATACTCTCCTTTCTTGCCACCATGACCACTTTCTTCATGAGCCCATTGGGTAATGACAGGGGTGGCTGGGAAAAGAGGCTGGCTGGTATCCACAGAATGAGTCATTATATCCACTTGATTATTACAGTTCTTCTCTGTTGAGTCCACCCTTTGGTGCCTTCACATGGTACAGAAATATCTTCACATTTTTTGCCCTTCCGGAGATGTCTATTCACATACCTCTTTCCCAAATTCCTTTGTCATCAATTCTCCAATCGTGTTTCCTCTATGTCTCTGACTATCCAGTCAAATCATTGGCCAGAGCCCATGAATTGGTATAATAAATACATGTCTGGCCATTTCTCTTTCCATAGATAGTGAACAAATAGGCACGCTGCTTAAAGTTCTGCCCACTAGGAAGATGCCCCTTCGCCATTGTCTTTCAGGGATGCCCCGGAGAGGAACTGTAATGACACAGCTGGTCTCCTTCAGGTGGTGCTTGCATAGTGTGGAGAAACACCTGTAAACTAGGCCTGCATCTTCTTTTCCTCTGTCAACTGACAGTAGGGAACTTCCCATGAGACCATAGGTGCATCATAGGAAAGAGAAGGCAGTATGGCAGGACTGGGGACACTGGGCATTTGGACCAATTCCTTCTTCATGTAACTTACTTGTGCCTTCAGGGCCAGGCCTGCTTAGACTTGATCGTACAGATACCACTTTCATTTGATGATGGAGATTTGCTGTGCATGCCCAACTTTATGGCTTGGTGGGTCAGATAACACCCCGTTAATGATTGGCAGCTCAGATCACATGATAAATTGGTGGCCCATGGTCATATGTTCAGTTTCTACTAAAGCCTGGTAGCAGGCCAAGAACTGTATTTTTAAAGGAGAGTAGTTATCTTGCAAATGATGGCAGGAACTTGTTTGAAAATTCTAAGGTCTGCACTGTGATTTACTTGTGGGGCCTGCCAAAGCAAGTTTGCATCTGCTTATCCTATGGTCCAAGTGGCAGATTGGCTTGCATAGCAGCCTGGACCTGATGCAGAGCCTTCTCTTGTTCGCCCTGGGCCCCACTCAAAACTAGTATTTTTTAGGGGGTATTCAGTAAGTGGGCTGGAATAAGACACCCAAATGAGGAATATGTTGCCTCCAAAATCCAAAAAGGCCCAGTAGGCATTCTGTCTCTTTCTTGGCTATAGGAGAGGACAGATACAAGAACTTACCTGTCATCTTAGAAGGAATATATCAACGTTCCACATACTACTAGACCCCTAGAAATTTCAGTGAGGTAGAAGGCCCTGAATTTTAGATTCTATTTCCCATCTTCTGACATGCAAATATCTTACCAATAAGTCTAGTGTAGTTACTTCTTGCTCACTAAGTCCAATTAGAATAAAGTCATCAATGCAATGGACCAGTGCAACATCTCATGGAAGGGAAAGGTGATCAAAATCCCTGCAAAAACATTATGACATAAGGGTGGCTGGAGGACTTATATAGCCCTGAGTAGGACAGTGAAGTTGTATTACTGACCCTATTGGCAGAACTTGACAAGAGTAAAAATGTAGAGAAGAAACAAAAATTTTTAAATGAAGCAAAGTAAGAAAGGAAAACAAGAAAAAGACAAGAGTACATCTTGAAGACAATCGAGGATGTTCTGGTTGGCTGTATAACAAGAGTAGTCCACGAGAAATACTGGGTAATGCTGATACTGCAACCCCAGCATAATAGTCAGGTAGGTAAGTATATAGATATAGGTATGTAGATAGGTAGAAGTAGATGTAGATGTATGTGAGAAAGCACTATGATGTAGAGAGAATTTTAAAAGATATTCCCATTGAAAGTCTCCAGAAGGAGAGTAATAATAGAAAGTGGGAAAAAATATAGAATCTCATAAAGGGATAAAAGTAAAAAGCTTAAGAATCCAAGTTAATTCACAGGAATGAACAAGTGAAGACATAAGGTAGGTTTCCTAATTGAATTCTATCATTGGCAATTTGAAGTATTAAAAAGAGGAAAGAGAAAAAGAAGAAACAATTAACATATTTGGTATAATTAGTATTAATGCTAGAGTAAGAATGTGAGTCTCCTCTACTGCTCTTATTATTATAAATGATAAAAATGTCATCCCCCAAAGAAAACAAATATTGAACAGGTGCCCAGTACACATGCAACATGTCTACTGACTTATTGAGTTAAAATACAAAACCCAACACATGTGGAGTTAGTGTTTTCTAAACATTTGTATATTTTACACACATGCCTGCCATGCTGAATGCTTGTAAATAGTTCTTGTTAATAACAACTATTTTTAGCCTCAAGAACTCAAAGGAAGGTGGCTTCCATGAAACAAATGAAAAATACCTCCTCTCCCTCAAGGTTCTGTCTCTTGATTTGTTAAAAAGAATCAGCTGAAGATGCCCTTGGTATTGCCAGGCTTCACTTCAGATTGTAGGTCATTGAACACATATTCCCAAGGGATCTAGGAAGGTTTTTTTTCAAGAATGCAAGATGGCTTGAAGACTAACTGAGAGGCATCTTTCTTTTTCTTCTCTTCGCAGCTATTTTTACTGCAGCCAATGCCTCACTTCACACCTAAGGATGAAGGTTGGAAGGAGAGAAAACGGAAGAAAGTCAGGCAATTTGCCTTCACTTGCCTTTATAAATCTGCAGAAAGGTGCCAGCCTCTTCTGGTGGTGAATAGCAGCCCATTTTTGCCGTTGTGACAGGGAAAGATATTGGCTAAATATCTTGATATCCTGAAATTAGTTTTTAATTGAATTAATAGTTGAAACCAAAACTGCTCATGGGATTGGAGGTTGTTGGGAGATTTGTTAAGTTCTCTACTTCATGTCATCTCTATGCCATTTATTATTTCTTACCATATACAATCTCAATTCCCCCATTAGATATGGAGACTATCATAGAGATCTTCATTCCCCACAGAATCTAAAACAGTGCCTTGCATATAATAAATGTTTAATTGGTATTTATTAAATGAGTACATGAATGAAAAATAAATAAAGGCCTATCAAATTATGAATGGCAGTGCGATTTTCTGATGACTGGACATCTATTTGATAGTGACTTTTTCAGACAAATTATCATTAAAGTGATTTTTTAAATCTTGGTAACTTCAGTGATTCCCTTGATGTTCTATATCACAGATACAGCAACAAATGACAAAGAAATAATTTTACCTCTCAATGTTGATATTTAGATTAACCTTTTATATTTTAAAGAGAATACTCCAATTTTTTTTTTTTTTAATAAACCCTCCTAATTCTAAAAGAAAAATGAGCCAGGTGCAGTTTTGCATGCCTGTAGTCCCAGCTACTTGGGAGTTTGAAGCAGGAGGATCATTTGATCCCAGGAGTTTGAGGCTAGTCTGGGTAACATACCAAGACCCTGTCTCTAAAAAAAAAAAAAAGGCAGGAAAAAAAAAAAGAAAAATGGTTTCCTACTTTCCTACAAAGTGATTTAGTGTTATATTCTTTCATACCTACTTTATTAACACATTTAATTTTCTTCCAAGAGATTACTCATGCATGTTCACCTTTGCTTCTATATTTAAAAGCTAAGGGTCAGGGATTTAAAAGAAAACACTTTGTTACAATTCCAGAATAGTGAGAAAACACAATGGCAGAGACTAAAATCTATCATGGTATTTTGGCTTCCTGCCTTCCCTTTATTTTACAATGGGAGGAAAATCAAGGTGAGACTTGACTCGCTTTAGGAGTTCCTTTCCTGTGTGCTCTGTCTCCAGCGAGGAGAGAGACTGACAGAATGATAACACTCGATGCCAGGCTCCCTTGCCCACTCAAAGACCCTCCCTCAGGTATCAGTTGCTTGGCTAAGCTTTGAGGTCAACTAGACACCTCCCTTGAGACTTACCTGGCCTGAGGGATAGAACGACCAGAAAATCCTCTCAGGGAGAGCAGCTGTTATCTGAGCTAGGATCAAAGTCCCCCTCTGTACTCCAGAAAAACATCTTCCAAACTGGGTCTCTTTCTCCATGATTCGAATGAATGTTGAATGAGTCCCCAGGGACACCAGTTGCTTTGCTCAGGAACAAGCTGTCAGAAATACTGTGCAATGAAAGTTCACCTCCTTTTAAGGTCTGTTTTTGCTTCAGCATTTTTATTCATTGTCTCAGAGACCCACTAGAAATTAAAGAAGAAATTAGGGAACAGGCAAATGGGATGATTATTTTTTTTATAGTTTTCATTTATGTATTGGGTTTTGTCTTTTTTTCCCTGAAATGTGACAATTGCTTCACCTTGGTAATATTCACAGTATCCATGAAAAGGCAGAGTGAGTATAAAAAGACATTGTCCAAACATTCAGTTTTGTATATAAAAGCATTAAAAATAATAAATAACTTTCCTGTTGATCAAATTTGGGCTGCAAATTGATAAAGTTTCTCTTGCCTTATACCAAATTTTTTATATAAGTCCACAGTGGCAATCTTAAACTAGGTGGAATGCATGTTCTTAGTGGAAATATTGTAGTTCAAAAAGTTCTGACCATAATTTTCCATCAAAAAGATCAACGTGAACCATTCATCTAGTGGCTCCAAATTTGCAGAGTCTCAAATATATCCAAAGTGATGCTTTGGTTTACAGCTAAGCAGATATAAACAGCATTAGAGTATAAATTCTTCAAGATCTGGGACATGTCTCATTCACCTTTATCTCCAGCAACTACCACTGGGCCTGGAACACAGCAGAGGTAATAAATATCTCTTGAGGCAAATTAGATTGATCATAGTTTCGATTATCTTATTAGAATTACAGAACTGGTTAACTGAACTAAAGGTAAAAATGTCACAAGGACAGACTACATACCTGGGCCAAGAAGAGAGAATATAGCATTTGGAAGAGCACTTTTTAGATGATGTCTTTTGAATATTTCCATTCTTTTCAGCATGAATGTATTTTGCTGACACTGTAGTTATAGCCAGTTTTATTTTGTACTTTTCAGGTTGCCCAGTTTAAATTGATGTTTTTGGTAGCAATGCCAGTGGGTAGGTGGGTGGGTCAGATATTTTAGTCATGGCACACACTATTGTACAGACATCTGTTATATTGAATGGATTATTTTGTTTATCAAGTTTCTTTGAATAGCAATTTCAGTTTTGTATCTTATTTCCTTCTTTGATGAGGGTATTGCCAGCAGATGCAAGCTACATATTGGCTTGAGTTTCTTGCAGTTCCCTGGCTAGCTTTTTTTAAAAGTTTTTTTTCCTTCCTTTTAGCACTTTTCTTCTCAATAAATGTGTCATTCTAAAGAAATTCAGCATTTTGAACACATGATTCTAAAATTAACAGCCTGCTAATTCTTCATTTAAGAAACATTTGTTATCTTTCTGAGGTCATTACCAATAATAACATAATTTTCTTTATTTTCCTCCTTTTTTGGTCTTTATTTTCCGGTGTTTTTTTCTTCTTCATAAATAACTAGTTCTTTAATAACAAATGCTATTTGTGGTTTTGTTCAGGGTACTGTTGAATAGTTATTCTACATATTTAAATCACCAGAGCCTCCTCTGAATTAGAACTTGTGTCAGCAGATCTGAACGCAAAGGGTCAGTATGAGCCATTTAATCTTAATAACCTGGAAGTCAGATAAATCTAAACAAGTATCTTGGTAATCCTGAGAAAGGCATTGTAGGGAACTAAGAACCTATTGTCAGTACTATAAATCTGACAATGACAACTGATGGTTAAGTGCTGGTTACCTAGCACTTAATATGTGTCAAATATCATTCAAAACTCACCTACCTACCTACCTACCTACCTACCTACCTACCTACCTACCTACCTATCTTCTATCTACTCAAATCTCACAACAAAACTATAAGGTAAATATTATTATTCCCATGTCACATCTGAGGACACTGAGAAACAATAACATTAAATACAGCCCCTAAATTCAGAGTAAATGGCTAGTATATGACTGAATCAGGATTCAGACCCAGGCGGGAGAGCTCCAAAGTTTGTACTTTTAATCATATGCTACATTGTGTCATATATTCATAAAATAGGGAGTAGACATTGTGGTATAAACATATTGTTGCCTACAAAATTCCAGGCACCGTGTTAGGCATTAGGGATTGAAAGATAAAATTCCCCTGACTTTAAGTTACTCACAATTTAGTAAAGGATCAGAATTGAAAACAGGTCAATTCAATGCAAAGAGAATGTAGAAGAAGGATACATGGGAATGAAGATGTTGAGGAAACATCCTTGGAGATAGGAACCTGGCCAGAAGGAAATTGAGTAGAAGTTAAGGCAGGTGAAGAAGAAAGTTTGGGGATTCCAGGAGGGAAGGAAAAGCATGAGTTGAGGCAGAAAGCCAGGAAACCACAGTGTGGTTGTGAGGAGAAGCCCCTCCCATGGTCTTACTAGAATGCAAAGTGGAAATCTGGACGGTGGCAAGAGATAAATGTACAGAATTAAGTACGGGTTTCATGGAAGACATTTGGTGACACATTGTCCCTAATGCCAAGACCAAAGTGTTTAATATGGCCTGCCTACGGCAATGTGGAAAACAGGAAGCTGACACACCTGATTCTTCCTCCTGTCCACCGCCAGAGAAAAGACCTGGCTTGTGGTGCTCATAATCAGATGTCCACTGCTCAAGGCTTTCTCCATCCTCCTCATTCCACCTTGGGACTTGGCCCTGATACACGGGTGTGCAGTGGGAAGGGACTGGCTGGCTCCCTCATACAGACTCCACATCATTATTTCACTTCTGGCTGCATCACCCTCCTATGGAGTATGGTCTTGAGGTTGCATGTTGGTGATTCCCTGCTTAATGACACTGTGACTAAGGTAAAGCTCATTTCTCCTTTTCTGCAGGTGGAAGAATCACAGTGATTATGTTGGATGGATGTACATACATTGGCCTAGCAATTTGACTGAATTGGAAAATCAGCAAGAGTTAGCAATCTTGAGGAAGAAACACAAAGCTGAAGAATATGAGGAGAAAGAAGTTTAAAAGAAATTTTAAATGTGAGGCATTGGTGAAAAGCAAGGTAGAGAAGGACTAAAAAATGTAGAAAATGTGGACTTTTAATAGTTTCATAATACCTTGTAGAGTTCAAAGTACTGGGTTATTGTGGTTTCCAAAAATTTTCCTCCCTTTATTTATGGCACTTAATATCTCATTCCACTGTAATTAACATGTCTTTTCCTATCACACTCAAGGACTGTGAGATCCTTGAGTCTAATCTTATTTCTCTTTCAGCACCTCCAACACTTATCATAGTGCTTGGCACACATGTTTAACAAATGAGTGTGAAATAAAACAACAATGGAGAGATACAGAGAGCTATGGCCTCATTTGTGTTGGTTGGGTCATTATGCAGAGAGAAACACAGAGGGCTCAGAACAGAGCACCAAAGGGGAAAAAATGTTGAGAGAGACATTGAGGTGGAGCAGAAAGTGCAAGGGCTTTGGGCTCAGAGAAACTCAGATATGAATCTTTGCCTTATTGGCACTTCTCCATCCGTGGGGATAAGAAGGGCATGAAGACACCAGCAACCTGTCAAGATCACTGCACCTCTAGGCAGACACCACAGATGCCAGGAGAGCCAGCCTCTGCCAATCTCAGGCCACGGTTTCCACCATGCAAGTATGTCCAGCAGAGACCTCCTCAGAAAGTCTCATGTACTTACAGACAGCCCAACCCCCTGCTCTCCATATTTCCCCTCTGACTCACCCAGGGCTATCTATACCACTTCTAGATAGACCTATAGGAATGGCTGCCTCTGGGTTTGTACTCAGCCTCTGCATCCACCTCTTCTATTATCATGTCATTCTGATATAACATGTGAAATGATTAGGCAGCCTGACTGTCTTTTTGGTAATTTACAGAATAACAAACTTGTATTAGCTGTAACTCCCTCCAAGTATTGCAATCCCTATTATGTATCTGGGGTTGAAATTATGCAAAAATAGGCAATTAGACTTCATAGATTCAAATTGGTTTCTCTCTCTCTCTCTCTTTAAAATTAATAGATTTTATTTTTTAGGGCAGTTTTAGGTTTACGGAAAAATTGAACAAAAAGTACAGAGAGTTCCCATATATTCTTTCTCTTCTCATGCCCATTTTCCCTATTATTAATGTCTTGCATTGGCATGGTATATTTGTTACAAGTGATGAACCAATATCGATTTTTTATTAGCAGCTAAAGTACATAGTTTATATTGGGGTTCATTCTTTGTGTTGTACAGTTATGAGTTTGGCTAAAAGCATAATGTCATATATCTGCCATTACAGTATTACACAGAATAGTTTTGTTGCCCTAAAAATGCCCCTATGCTCCATCTATCTATACCTTCCTTCTCCCCTCAGTCCTAGGCAACCATTGATTTTTACTGGCTTTTTTTCACTTAATAATGTGCATTTAAGGTTTTGCCATGTCTTTTTGTTGCTTCATAGTACATTTCTTTTTATTGCTGAATAATATTCTAATGTGTGGATATTCCACAGTCTGTTTGTTTGCTCACTATTAAAATACATCTGCGTTTTTATTTCACATATAATAAATTATTTCACATATATTCAAGAAAGAATAAAAGAAAAAAAGAAAAAAAAAGAAAAAAAAAAGAAAATACATCTGCGTTTCTTCCAATTTTTGGCATTATGAATAAAGCTGCAATAAAATTTGTATTTTGGTTATTGTGTAGACATATATTTTCAACCCACTTAGGTAAATACTTAGGAGTGTGATTACAAGATCACATGGCAAGACTATGCTTAATTTTGTAAGACATTGCCAAAGTGTCTTCCAAAGTGGGTATGCCATTTTACATTCCCTCCAGCAATGAATAAGAGTTCCTGTTGCTCCACATCTCCACTAACGTGTGGTATTGTCAGTGTTCTGGATTTGGACCATTCTAATAGGCATGTAGTGCTCTCTTGTTATTGTTTTAATGTGCATTTTCCTAACATAATGTGTTCTTGAGTATCTTTTTATATACTTATTTGCTGTCTGCATATCTTCTTTGGTGAGGTGTTCTGATATTTTGTCCGTTTTTTTTTTTAACATATAAACACCTATTTGATTTATTTTCAGCCTATATCCAAACATTTGTAACATGGTTTTGCTATTTTATTTGGTTTTCCTCCCACCCCTACCTTCTTTTCATGTTTT